CATCCCTACAAAGCCGGGACGGAGCACGCGGGGTTCTCACCGGACCAGGCTCTCACATCACCAAGCGTGAAGCGCCGTGAGATGTTCGGCGAGTGGCATGAAGGGTGCGCTGCATTCTACTAAGGGTATTCGGCATATTGTGCTTACTTTCTTGCGGATGACAGCTGCGTATGACTTATTTTATTTTCTGGTGCTTTCACTTCCTGAGACAGTTGTAAGCACTGTGTAACTGCCTCGAGGGTGCTTGACCAACTTAGCACAGCGTGGTGCGATCATCCCCCTTGCGCGGAGTGAGGGTTCTCGACCCCGCACAACATGATCTACTCGATCACCATTATGGTTACCGCCAATACAAAACAGAGGAAAAATACAATAAACGGTAACCTGGTTGCCGAGTTCACGACGTGAATTGGCTTGTTTTACAACGTCGTTGCCAAGCGACGAAAACCCAACCCCGACGGCAAACATCGGGGGGGGGGTTCTGGAGCGGGGGGGGGAAGTGAGTTATTGGAGCTACTGTGTTGCCTGAAACTCGTTAGTCGTTTTTCGTAACAGTTTCTGGTGCGGAAGAAAACTAATCGTCTGTACGATTCTGACCGTACATACTCTGTGTGACGGCTTTCCAGTCGCCTAAAATCATCCCCATGTAGGGTGTCGGAAAATCCTTAAAAAAAGTGTCAGTTAAAGTGCACTACCCCGGACAACCCCCCGCTTTGCTGGCTTCGCCGCGCCGTGGCAAAGACAGATACCCTGCGCAGCGTCTTCAGCGCAAACAAACGATACTCCCCGAAACAACGATATTATTGAGCGATCCAATGGCCCCCGACATGATGGAGAAGACAAAACAGAAAACATCAGCTCGCACCTACGGAGTACAGCACCGTCATGTACACGGTTCGTTCATCGTGAGGGTACTTGTTCTGAACGAGGCTCATCTAAAAGGTCATCAAAAAAATCAAACGCGGTAGCGACAGGACATAGCCGCACTCTCGAACTCAAATCGGCACACCACCGATTGACACCACCAGCAGGTTCGAATGAAAAAAAATCGCGCGTGACAGATACTTCTCGAGCTATTTAGCACGGCAGAACAAGGAAACACACACTTTGCAACAAATGAAACTGTTCCGTGTGGGGGGTGAATGCAAGACAGCACATGGGCAACCGCCAAACGATTAGCAGGCCGCAAACTCAACCTGGACCGCAGTGCGATGCAGAATACATTCACAGAACGAGCTCTAAGTCCGAACAGAACCGGCAAGACATGATATTAACACCACGCCCGCTCACAGAACTGCAAATTCCAAATGTACACGACACGGTAACAGAAGGGCTGTTGTCCTGCGTTCACAAATAATCCGTTCTCCATCCATGCGTCGCGACCCTTATTCCCTTCGTCGGCGCTCCGTCTTGAGAACGGGCAGTTACTTACTTGCGCGACCGATGGTCGAATGACTGAGGAAGCAACAATTGACTTCACGCCATCCCCCTTCATAGCGAGGGCGAAGAGCTCCAAAGGATGTGGGCGTCCTCCGTAGACATCACCACGCTGCCGTCGTGGAGCTGCAACGACGCCGCCTTCAGGGCCTTCCCGTGGGAGTCCCACGGAAGGTGGACCCTCCACCCGCCAACAGGCCTCGAGCTTCGTCCCAAGGTGCACATCCGACCCGGCCGACCCTCCACCTGCCGTTCTTCACGGCCAGGTGGACGGGGACGCCTATGTCTCGGCCACCGTTCGTGGCCCTCTCCCACCATGCCCCAAGAGCACACCCGAGGCCCCCATTGACAGTGCCCCCGACCGACCCCGAAATACGGTGGGCCCAGAGCGGTGTGTGGTCAGTGGGGTAGGCCGGGATGTCGCCCTGAACCTGATTCTGCCAGAAGCAAGTCCGCGACATCCCGGCCTACCCTACGAACGACACACCGCTGTGGGCCCACCGTGTTACGGGGTCGGTCGGGGGCACTCTCAATGGGGGCCTCGGGTGTGCTCTGAAGGCATGGTGGGAGAGGGCCAAGAACGGTGGCCAAGACATGGACGTCCCCATTCGATTGGCTCCTCAACTTATACGTGAGTGGCCAAGGCGATGGGGTGGTATTGCACTACTTCCCTAGAGTTTCCTACTTGACAAAGTGTACATAGTCTAACTGGATGCAGGGAACAGAGGTCCTGACCTCAGGTCAGCACGGACTCTATGTAATGGGAAGACAACAACGACGGCTACAAGCAGCAAGCCGGAAAACAACGAATGACCTCGGTGGTACGTTCTAAAGGTGCAACACTGACGGCAATTCCAGATGAATGTCGGATAGCATGTCTACATGTGTTTCCCCGCTGCCCAGGTGTCTAGATTCAGCCTACATGCGGGGCGGTTCGTCAGTCGCCGAACATCATCCACACTAGGGTATCGACAATTCAAATCAGACACATTGCCTAATATAGGTGTACCGCTCAAGACAATCTCTCCCTTCTTAGTTGTGGGATGCCGTGGCACACAGCCTCCAGCGCGCCATATTCAGCGCAAATGAATAACACTCCCCCGAAAGAACGACCGATTCGAACGATCAAAGAGTCCGACATTCATGTAGATAGCACGAGGCGGAAGGACCTCAGCCCCGTGCACAAATATTTGACAATCACCAGCATTTTCGACAAATGAAAACAGCGCGAATAAGAGGTGCTTCCCGAGCTCTCAGGGAACAACAAAGAACGATGCACTTTGAAACAAATAACACTACTCCAAGTGGGGGGCGAATGCAAGACAGCATGAAAATTGATCTATTGCGCGCCTCTCACCTGTAAACGATGAAGAAGTGTCGAACTGCCGAACGCGGACGAGAAGGGACGAGAACCCAGATGGCAGCAGTAGGGCATTTGGCTTGAGATTCGTCCGGGACCACCTTCTGCTGTCTGTCGTCATGATGGCGGTTGTCACGTCCAGGAAGGAGCGGGTCAAAACGCCTTCCGCTTGCAACAGCTTGCTCTACGTCATTCCCGCTGAGATTGCCCATCTCTTCCAGCTCGGGGAACCTACAAGAGACACACACACTGCTACGAGAGACAGTCACCCTCCTTCTCCTCAACATCTACCTCAAGAGTACGAAGGACACTGAAGTTTAGTCTCGTACTCAAAGATCGTGAATGGCTCACCAGGCGGCCTGGCGACAAAGACCAGAGAGAAGTGAGTCAAAGCATTGTGCGAAGACTTGATCGAGTTGACCAAGCCATCCTCCTCGGCGTTTCCCGCGTCATGGGCTTCCGCGTGAAGGATTCGTCCTCGTCATTGCCCCTGGCGTCGGTGTTGGAAAGGAGTGGTGCGGGCGTGTGTGTGCCCTTGGGCGGGGTGTGTGTGTTTTTATTATTAGCATCGACCGCGCTAACCGGCTGACCAATTAAAAGACGACAGTGCCAGCGGGTAAAAATCAAGGTCCGTGGAAGGGTGTGTGTGTGAGATCGCTCACGTTTTTTTTTTCCGATGATGATGATGATGATGATGATGATGATGATAATGCCGAGTAACAATAGCCGCTTGGTCCAGCCAGTGGAAATAATTCGCCAATCAATCGTCGAGTGTGTTTTTTTTCTCATCATACCATCACATAACAAACCCATCTCTATCTGGAACTAGTCTATAGTCTAGAAAGAAGTCTATCTTAGATAGATTTGTGTTGTGGCTAGGAAAGAACGGACGGACGGACGGATATCACCTACCTGCCCGACAACATAATGAATCTTCTGACTTCGGCTGCACGCGCTGGCCGCGGGCATCGCCTACGGGATGAACCGGCTGCACCAACTACGGCAGTAGTGTACTATTGGCCAGGCTCACAGCTCGCCGAAGTATGTTTTTTGGGTCGGGACATGGACACTCTCGGCTGTATGTACCACCTGCTGTGTTCAATCATAGGTACACGCATGACATGATTATAGTAGTATAGCATCGCACGTCTTAAATTACTTGTAAAGACGTGCTTCATGTGATGGGGTGGAGTGCTGGATGTGTTGAATGATAATTCAATCGGTTTCTTCGACATTCGTGACAATGAGAAGACATTTTCATGTTCACAGCTCGCCGCCTTCAGCGTCCCACCGATCCTGCCCACCGAGCAGCAGCAGAAGCAGTACTAGCTGCAGCGGCAGCAGCAATCACAGCAACCACATCAACAGCAGTATAGCTACTACTGCCGGTGCATGCTGTGCACTACTGTACTCATCAAGAATGTCTATACATCATACATTGGAGTGGGGAGATGCGCACAGCGTGTATCTACAGCAGTAGTCTAGTAGTCTTTGTTCGCGCGCACCCAGACGAAATGGCAGGGGGACCCCATCCCTTACTACCTTGCACGATTATCAGGTGTTTGTGTGCGGCAAGCAACCTTATCGCGTGCTTGTACCCCTGCCCGCAATCTAGTTGAAACAGTAAGGTTAGCGTGTCTGGGTCGCGGAAAAATTCTGAGCGCCTAGGGTTGAGGCCAGGAATCCGTTCATCGTCCATTATAGCATTTGATACGATCGGTGCGTTCTACTCTGTGGCCCTCATGCGTGTTGTTTCAATTTTAGGGCCTATCCTCGCCCTCGCTGTCTTTCTGCATGCATTTCCTAAGAGCGACATGCTCTTTGCAACGAGTGTTGAGGCTCCTTTATGAATTCTTGGTTCGCTGGGTTAGTGCCGCAATTGGTACGTGCGTGTGTATTATTAGCATCGACCGCGCAAACCGGCTGACCAATGAAAAGAAGTGAGTGCCAGCGGGAAAAAATCAAGGTCCCTGGAAGGGGCCCAAAATTCGAAAAATGCGCAATGCGCTAAAGGCGAATGCCAATACGACTCTCTCTACATATTCTTTTACGTAGACACACATCTCAGCTACACAAACGCCCTCGTTCGAACCTAGGAAGCCACTGATGCAAAGAGCGGAGGACAGCAAAAGGGTTAATTCAAGCCCAGCCGAAGCCAGGATATCGTGGTATGCTGCATGTCCCAATTTGATAATCGTACACTCCCAACGTCCAACAGTGCGTGAGTGAGAGTTGGCCAAGGCGGTGGTGGTTTTACACTACATGTTTCCGATTGTTTCCTTCTTGGTGAAAGTGTACGCAGTCTAAATAGATGCAGAGAGAAGAGGTCCTGAACTCAGGTCAGCAAGTACTATGTGGTGGAAATACAACACCGACGGCTACGAGCAGTGATCGGAAAGCAATGAATTAACTCGGTCGTACGTTCTGAAGGTGCAACACTGACGGCACGTCCAGATAAATACCAGATAGCTTGACAACCCGTGTTTCCCCGCTGTCCAGGTGTCTAGATTTAGCCTAAATACGTGGCGGTGTGTCAGTCGCCGAACATCATCCACACTAGGGTATCGGAAAATCAAGTCAGACTACAGTAGTCCAATATAGGTGTACCGCTCAAGACAATATCTCCCTTCTTAGTTGTGAGATGACGTGGCAGACAAACCTCCAGCGCAGCAAATTCAGCGCAACTGGATGCGAAACAACCACCGATTCGAACAATCAAACAGCCCGACATTCATGAAACACACAAACCTCAGGCGGGGCCCTCAGCCCCGTGCACTAATATTTGACGGTCACAAGCATTTTCGACAAATAACGGAAAACATCGAGATGCTTGCCGAGCTCCCAGGGAACAACAAAGAAAATGCACTTTGAAACAAAATAAAAGTACTCCATGTGGGGGGCGAATGCAAGCCAGAAGTCGAGCAAGCCGAGAACCCAACCGTGAGCCCAGGACGAGGCAGGATACATTCGAAGAACGAGTTCTCAAGACAACAAACGAAACCGACATGAAATGACATGATTCACCACTCCCGCCAGCAGACACTAAACAAACTAAATGTACACGACGGAGCAACAGAAGGGCATTTGTTCTGCATTCACAAATAAACCGTTCTCTATCCGTGCGTCCATCTTTCCGTTTGTCAGCGCTCCGTCACAAGAACAGGCACGTGCCGGATGACTCAGGAAGCAACCACTGACGCACCCCACACCCCCCTTCACGGCGAGGGCGAAGAGCTCCACAGGATGTGGCCGTCCTCCGTGGCCATCACCACGCTGCCGTTTCGGAGCTGCAATGACGCGGCCTTGAGAGCCTTCCCGTGGGAGTCCCAAGGAAGGTGCACCCTCCACCCGCCAACCGGCCTCGGGCTTTGTCCCAAGGTGCACATCCATCCCCTGCCGACCCTCCACCTGCCGTTCTTCACGGCCAGGTGGACGGGAACGCCCATGTCTTGGCCACCGTTCGTGGCTCTCTCCCACCATGCCTCCACAGCACACCCTAGCCCCCCGTTGGCAGTACCCCCGACCGACCCCGTAACACGGTGGGCCCACAGCGGTGTGTCGTCCGTGGGGTAGGCCGGGATGTCGCCCTGCCGAAGAATCAGGTCCCCGACCTCCGTCAACTCCAGGTTAGCGGAATCGACGACCGGTGCCGTCGACAAGAATTGACCCGGGATGAGCGGGTAGTCATCGACAGAAATGCTGTCGCCGCGGAAGGCGGGCGTGGGGGCGAACGTAAACGGCCCGAGCTCCATGGAGAACTTGAACGAGTTCCCCAAGTCACCCGCCCGCGGAGTGTCCTGCAATAGTTGAGTGTCGCACGAGAGCATGTTGCAGAATTCGATAAGTGCATGGAACGGAAGACATGGACTCGGGTTTGCCTACTACTGCCGTAGGTGATTGGTGGAACTGAAGGCTATTGTGGTTACCGTATGCTTCCGTGCCGTGGCAGGAGGAACTCTACCGTACCGTTGGCTACCGGATAGAACACAGACACAGAAGCGACAGCGTGTTGAAGAGCAGCAACTGCAACGCCAACACCAACATCTACAGCATCGACAACACGCCCTCGCCTCTCGCCAAACACGTACACCATATATAACATCAACAACAACAAGTACTTACCCCAAAAAAATCGGTCTCCTTCTGGGTATCACGCGTTGTGACACCCTCCAGGACCGACATCCACTTGTCCAAATCTGCGGAGCTTCCCGCATCGAGCTCCCACTGTCAAGGAAGGCATCGTTAGAAAATACAGCAGTGCGAGACAAGGGCGGGTGGTTGTAGATCCGAATGACGGAAAATGGACCATCAATGCCAGGACAAACACGGGCGGTGACGGAGAGCAATCGACAAAAAAGTTGGTTGGCTAGGTAAGCATGAGAAGTTGGCGTGGTGGTTGGTGCAGCATGAGGTTGTGCAGCTCTTGCGTGAATCGTTTACGGCCATCTCCGGCTAGCTACCTCGAGAGTACGCGATAGTGCAGCATCCTTTGTCGCTACGTCAGAAACATTGTGAGCATACCGGTAGACAACAAGCTTGATGCAAGACATGAATGAGGGGAATGTTGCACGGAAAAACCCGTTTGCTCACCCGTTTGTTCGTCAGGCCTCTAGGAGTTCCTGTCGAAACACGGAACACGAAGCGTCCGTCCTTGCTCGTCGTCCCGTGCTTATCCTCGACCCGCACCACCTCGGTCGAACTATCCAAGGGCATGTCCTAAGAGTTGGCAGGTGGCACGTCGAACGAGAATAATACGCCGAGAGGGTTATGAAAAAACGGAAGCGAAAAACAGGACGAGAGAGCAGCGATACGATTGACGGTGCAAGTCATGGGGTGATTTAGCTCAGCATTCCACACCATACACAGCTTTCGTGTGCTCTTGACTGCCCAAATATGATTCTGGCTCTGGGAGCAAACTGAGGGAATGCGTGCCGCATTGACTACTACTGCACACCATGCGATAATAGCGGCATAGCGGCACGCAAAACTTAGCAAACCATGTTCGAACAGATTGCCATGGACCCCACCTGCCTGTGCAAAGCACATGCGGGAAAAACAAATATCCGATTGGTGTTCAACCTCGATTGAGTTTGTAAGATGCAACACACGGGGGGAGGCAAACCGAGGGCGGTGGTAGCATGGCACAAACCTGGCAGGACTTGGCCCCTCCTACGCGGGCCATTTTGCACAGTCTGAGTGTTGAAGAGTCCACAAGGGAAAGCTGGCGTGGCCTCCACCAGCTGACGAAGGTCTTCACTCTCACAGTCCCCTGGCGAATCTGTACAACGAGCGTTTGGAGAAGAATCATTAACACCCGTTTAGCGGGTCTGTGGAGGTGGGGCAACCTATCTACCCTGCACAAAGCGGTGAAACGCCCCCACAGCGCTGTGCGTGTGGTGGGTGGGTGGGCGAGTGAGTGGATGTTGGTATCCTGACTTTGAGGCTACCTCATATGTCACCGTCGAGTGTCGAACTGCTGTAGCACAGTTCGTTCATCATGTCGACACAGTTTGGCACCGCCCGATCGCTCGTTAACTGTAACTACTACACGGTTGAAATATACCTCAAGTTCAAGTTCACCAAGTCCGTTACTGACCCACTAATGGCCGCAATACCGTTTCGGTACGTAACTGTAGAGAATGATTGCCATATTCAGAGAAGTAGATGAGTTCTGTGGTTGTGTCTGCTCACATCGTTGTGCGCCGTTGCGTCGCCGGCGGTGGAGTCTTCCGGGCGTGGGGCATCGTCGTCGTGGTCTCCGTTGTTGCTGTTGCCGTTGTTGTTGCTGTCGTTGTTGTTGTTGGTGCCGCTGTTGGTGTTGTCGTCGTCATCGTCGTTGCTGTCGTTGTTGCTGCTGCTGCTGCTTCTGGTGCTGGTGCTGGTGCTGGTACTGCTGCGGCCGTTGTCGCCGTTGTTGTCATAGCCATCGATGTTGATGTTGTTGTTGTCGTTGCCGCTGCTGCTGCTAGCGGTGGTTGTGGTGCCGCTGAGGTCGGCGGTGCTGGTGCAGGTGGTGTGGTCGGATGGAGTGACTCCTGTGGAAACGGCGGCATGACGTACTTCACCCTTCAATGTGATAGTTTGTGATGACGAAAAAGTGACCCTTCAGAGAAAAAAACGACGCAGCAGAATCTTAGACCCCACGTCCTAAGCGCAAAATTTCCCCAGTACTTAGTTTCGTGCCCGACAAGCAAGTCTAAAGCAAAGGTTGATCAGGGACAAGAGGGACACATCACGCGCACGTCCAAGACTCAGCCTCAGTGCAGTGTGTCGGGGTGAGATCGACAAGCAAACGTATCGTGAAGGAGCGACGCTTTTTGAAACATATCGGCGCGGTTTGTCTTGTCCTCGAGATCGACACCATATATTCCAACACCAAGACTGGTACAATCTCCGCGAGGGGATTCTCCGTAGGGTGGTGAATGCATGTGTGCGGTTGGCAACGGAGCCCAATAAAAAGCAGACAAGGGACACGATGCACCACGCCATGGACCACACCCTTGACGCACAACAACACATAAGCATTGTACAGACCGGTTCGACCACCTTTGCCCACGCATTCACACAAGGAGAATCAGCTACGGTACAGTGATAGTAAATCAGCTACGTTACAGCGAGAGTGAAATACGGGATCCCCTCGTCTAACCGGTAGTGGTGGTGGTTTCGTCGTTCACGGGCAATCCGGTGTTATCGACCGTGACGGTGGCGTGCCGAGGGAGCTGGTTCCGGTCGTGGCCTCCTGTGAGGCTCAGCCGGTAAACGTCGAACGAGTCAACTCCGCCGCATGGCTGCGAGCTGTCGCCGGTGCACGGGGCATCGCACACACCACCCTTCCTGTCGTCGAAGATCCCGGCGTCTACTTCCGCAAAGCAGGTGCACCGGTCGCCTCGGGTGACCGCGAAGCCATCTTGCCCCCTGTCCTCACAGATCGCAGCACATTCCTGGGAGCAAGAGAGGGGAAAGAGGAACAGTGGAAGTCAGCGAGCAACAGAGGTGTGGTGTGTGAAAGACGGCAGAGTCGAGTGACCGCAAACGTCTTGATTGCACCACAAGCCACGCCATAACCGACAACTGAAGGCTGCAACTCAACTTGAGTTTTCGCGACGTACAAAATAAATGGCATGATGTCTAGACGGGACTTATTGCAGTTGGCTACCAGTAGCCGCGATGCTATGTCAATCGGCCCACCACGTACCTGCGGGGTCATGTCATCCCTGCCGAACACCCCCGGGATGGTGTCAGCTTCAGCCTTGGTCTTGATCCTCCCGAGGGAGACCATCTCTTCCTCCGCCAACTTCAGGCAGCCAACGTGCTCGAAACGGTCGTGGGTGGAGGCGGCGATGGTAGTGGTGGCGTCTTTGTCGACGCTTGACAGCTGCTGGAACGGCAGGGAGCTGCTGTTGCCATAGTTGCTCCCGGGCAGGACGGAAGGCTCGATAACGACCACGGGCTCCTGCTCATGTGTAGAGTACACCGTGACGGACGGTCGAAAAGAGGACCAACGAGGAGGATGTGCATCGTTGAGAAGTTGTACAGTAGTGTAAGCACTCTCATTTTCTTTGTCTTAGGATTGCTGGTTTGCTGGTTTGGACTCCACTTATTCTTTATTCTGGGGCGGGAGAAATCTTCCTAGGACAGCAGCCGTGCTCGGTCGACACTGCGTTTTAGGTGCATGCAAATGACAAAAGACATGAATGGTAAATGGCACTATTAATGCCAAGGGCTTTACTGTAGACACCCTTACCACAGCAGAGCGGCGTTCGTAAGGTGCGGTTACGGTGTTTTTTCCCTCTAGACTAGGGCACTCTCTCAACTCGCAACTACAGCAGATGAGTGGCACAAGGTATCACACCCCGTGCACGGATTTTCAAAGCTCGGTTGCTCTGCAGCATCAAGAGTCGCGGTGCCGGTCTTGTAATGTCGCCGTGCATACAGCAGTAGACGATAATACGCTGCATGCGGTAATCTCAACGGCGGATAATTACCCTGCTGTAGTCGATGTTTACACTGCTGTGCCTAACACNCAGACACATTCTGACAGCACTTCAGACAGCAGCTGCATGCCCCGAGCTTGTGTACCATGCACCATGGTGGTGTTTTTGTACAGACAGCACTTCAGACAGCAGTACGCTGTAGTCGACAAACATTTATTTTGGTGCATTTTTTTAATAAATGCGGGACAAGGGGGGTGATGCTGCTGCTGTAGTCGATTTGTAGTGTGTTGGCGTGTAGTTCAGTTGTGAGCATGCAAACGTGCTGCAGGAATTGCAGGTGTACCTCCTCGGGCTTGTGTACCCTTGTCTTGCAAATAGTGTGTGTGTTCTTTAGATCTTCTGATGGCTCTAGCATTTTTGTGACCACGGACCGAGTCTTTGCTAGATTTTGGGATTAGCAATTGACACGAGTTTAATGTGAAGAACAACAAAAATAACAAACGACAACAAGTCTAATCTGCGGCATCGCTTGTGTGTTGTTGGTCTTGGTGGATGATGAGAGATGAGAGGAGATCAGAGCGTGCGGACCGTGGGGAGTGTGAGTGCGCGAGGAACTCTTACTAGCAGCGGCTCAGGGACGGAAATCAGGCACGGATGGTGTGCCGATAGCATCGTCATCGATGACATTCAGTATTTCAGAGCAGGTGACGATATATATCACATCACGGGCCGGATGCAGTTGGCTGAATCGGGTGATGCGGGGGGAAAGACAGATCGGTGTTTCATCGTCAAGCGGGCTGCCCCGGCCGCAGCACGAACAGTCAGGGTTAGTTGGGCTGATGACCCTCTCTAGTCTCTAGGCCAGGAGCGACGCCAGCGGTTGGCAATGGCGAAGTCAAACCAGAGTCGTCTCGTCGGCTCCGCCTCGCCGCCCGTGACACGAGGGGGAACAACAGCTAACGACCAAACCGATCAACACCACACACACGTAGGCGGGTGTGGGAAGCGTTCCCCGTTCTCCTTTTATTTTATTTTGATCGGTCTCCTCGACGCTCTTTCTCGTTTGGTGCGGTAGCTGGTCTTTCTTTCTATCATTTTGTTTAACTTCCGAGTGGTTTTTGTACCCTATTTTTTTCTGTTTCTTCGTGGGGTCGTGTAAGCCGGGTTTTGAGACAACGGGCTCCCAATCTTTCTTTAGAGCTAATGTGAGAAACAACAACAACAACAACAACAACAACAACACGTTTGTTGCGGAAGCGATGCTGCCTGCCATCACGACTCCAGAGGTAAGGTGATTGCAATGTGGGGCGACCCCGACTATCCTAGCAGAACAGGAGCTGATCTCACTCACTTTGATTGGGCCCTGCTCTATGTAGCTCAGCGTCAGCAGAAAAGTGCGGAAGAGCGCCGGTTCATCCGAATCTCTGGACTCTAATAATCAGAGCGTGCACACCATTGTGCCCACAGCAATCTACGAAGTCGACAGCAGTCTACGAACATGCGGGGGAACTACCGTTCAACGCAGTCCTGCTGACGACGCCAACCCAGCACAAATGGCAGCGCCTCCACAGCCTACAGAACTACTGCTGTGGAGTACAGCAGCAATATCGTTGCACTGGGACAATAACGCCTACTGTAGACGATATTCGCAGCCAATAACGCCACACCGACAATCCGACAGCAGTGTGTGTAGGGCAGCAGAAGGTGGTGGTTGTGAGCACACCAGATGGAACGTGGTCGGTGTGCACTGCTGTAGACCACGTATATAGACTGCTGCTGTAGTCTACTGCTTGACCATGACACGATTGGCAGCGAGCGATAGTTTGAACGCCGGGGGCTTGAGAAAGAGTTCATCCGACATCCTCCTCACCTGGCCGTGGGAGGAGATCTTGTCGTCGTCGTTGTTGTTGATGTCGTCGTTGTTGTTGTTGTTGTCGCTGCCGTGCGCGGAGCCCAGCATGAGGACTCCGACAAGCAGCATGAAGAGCGTCTTGATCTTCGTCATCTTCATGCTTGAGTTCATCGGAGACACGAGCACGACCCGAGATTGTCGGGGGAAAATCATTTACCGTTGCTGACCTGCAGACTACGTAGACGCCATGGTATCAAGCCCCTGTCAACGGCAGTTGGCACTATGCACATACATGATATACTGTAGACATCGTGTATCATCGGCCCATAGATGTGGTCTAGTCTACTGCACCAAGAGCAGCGCAAGAGCTCGGGACACCTTTGAGTATACGGTAGAGCAACGAGGACCTTCCACCGGCTCATCCTAAAGCAGTTGAAACAGGGGTGCTCCCGACACGTGGGTATAACGTTTATTTTTTTATAGACTACCGGGTGGAGATTGTAAGATCACGCTCTACTTGTGTTCGTGTGTGTGCTTGAGCTGTTAGACTATTTTGGCAGAATAGAATTTCGAAGGCACGCACGTAATGCTCAACCAAGTGCAGTATTGCGGATGACACACTACTCTACCGGCGCTAATCCTGGGCACGGGGGAAGGGTAGAGACATCGAATTGGCTGTTTTTCGTTTTCCCGCTTTTTCCAACGGATTTTCGCAGAGCTCTCCACAGGGGAGAGGTCTAACCCATCACAGAATCCCAGGATTGGGCAGTCAATACCGGACGGCAAATAATGGAGGGACAAAGAGGTCTCTAGCGAGTACTGGATTAGAGAAGTTAGGATTACAGCAGGCAATATGGAGTAAGAATCGTGTTAGGAAGGGCGGCTGTGAGTATACATTATCGCTCGCCGTTTTCTACCCTGCAGCGTGTTCGGTGGTTGTTTCGATCTTTCGTAGGTCGAGTTGCTGAAAAAAATGGGGCACGATTTGTCCGATGCTGCTGGCAGATGACTTGCTCTTCATGCCCAACCATGTTGGCCCAACAGACAAAGAACGACCAATGCCCGTATGAACATCACCGAAGTATTGGTCGAGTCCGACGTGCAGTATCCGAGATCGCTGCCTCCAGCAGTTGCTTGGGTACTGGCGTTTACTTCCTCTCACTACCATCCCATATCTGCACATGGATCCATCGTCATGTTGCGCTGTGATGTGGCTCGTCAATCAGGCACCTCACTGACCGCAGACCATAGATTTGCCAGCACCCAATTAACCCGCTACTGCGTAGATGGTAAAGAGCGGCGCGCTGGCCACAAGGCGAGTTGTACCAAGACCGATAGAGCAATTCCCTACTGCCCTGAAGCAAATGTACTGGTGCTACCTGGCTGCTGTTGTTTGCCACTTAGATCCTCCTGTTCTACATGCGCATATCCGACCCGCCGTGTCAGCCGCTATTTTGATGCGTGTTCTGCAGCACACACACCTAAGATATACTGTGCACTGCTGTGCACACTCGGCGCCAGAACCCAAGATTCTCGCGCAACACCTCTCTCTCTCTCCCTTGCTCTCACCTCCTAGAGCGTAAGTACGCGGGTGGTTGGTGCTCCGCTTTCCGATGCAGGCTGGCTGTGTGCAGGGACCGGAGAGAGCAGCAGAATGGCAGGTGAAGCAAGAGCCTATTTTCCGNGGGGGGGGGGGGGGGGGGGGGGGGGGGGGGGGGGGGGGAGGGGTAGGCAGAGAGAGAATTTTAACCACGGTGCCTTTGATAACGCCTCCTCCAATATTTGTTTCGCTCACGACCTCGACATCTACGGCCGCCAACGGCTAGAAGCATGTCATGATCTACAAGCCGCAAAGCATTGCTACTGTATCATGTCAGAGGGCGCTCAGCCTAACGTCTGCATGATGTCGCACTCTCGTGCCAAACCGTTTCGTTAGGCTCTGCTGTAGCTTCTGCTCCCCGCTGTAGCTCCACAACGAGAGACTCCCACAGGATGACCAGGGTAGCGGCTTGAAGCTACGGGCTAGCCCTTCAATTCAAGCTACACAGCAAGCTCCACCTCTCAGTGGTAGTCCGGCTACAGCGTATCGCGCAATCTCGCTCTCAATCAGATGCTACGCTCTCAATCAGGCGAATATGTTGTTTAGTATTGTCTGTATGACTAGTCAATATCGTCTGTCTGACTTATTTAAGTTGGTCAACGGCCGAGATGAAGACGTGGTGACTTTCTCTTGCACGCCTCACTGAGTAGCATGCGGGCCCTACGCCGAGAAGTAGCAGCATCGGTGGGAGTAAGAGGCTACGACGACAAAAGGCCGAACGGAGAGATTTCGCAGCAACTTCAAAGAAACTGATGATACTGCCGTTATGTTGATTCTACCGCTCAAATCGTAGGTAGGGTGTTTTGGAGCAGTTGGACGATGTTGGGGATTATGTACAAAACATAGTATCATGGCACCCTCTGTGTTCAAATTCACTTCAAAACCGTGAGTGACATTTACCCTCATCCCAAGGATAGTATATCGGAACCGCCGCACATATGCCAGGCGTTAGCCTGGTGCAACCAAATGAGCTGTGGTTGTTCGAAAGGATCCCCCCGTCAACCGTAGACTTTTTTCGCGTCGAGGCGATTTCGTGCGTGGCCCCATAGTGCTGGAAAATATTCCGATCTCTTGTGCCATACTACAGAACGCCAACAACCCAGGTGGTTGGGGTAGTTGAAAATAGAGGATTTATTGTGCACAAAGGACTTGAGTTCGACATATACCCACACACCAAGCACTTATGGTCACTGTTGGTTGCCCGCTGAAAAGTAAAGGAGATCGGGTGCGAAAAATAAGAGAGTTTCCTGTGGTCGCGCGTTCTGTGAAGCATCGAATGGTTGAATGGGAATGATCATGCACGTGTTCCACCGAATCACCGACAAGTTGAGCAACCAGGTGGTCGCTTCTTTTTCTATCTTCTGGCATTTTTTTCGCGCCCACCCCAGCGCTAACCCTCCAATCCAGTCATCTTTCCGATCCCCGCACAGCAGTTTATTCTAACGATCTCGCGTAGCAGTTTTCTGCTGTACCCTCCCTGCCCAATCCGATCCGGAGCTGTTTTGTATTGCCACGGGTCCTAGGCCGTGCCAAGTGTTAAACGGGGTTCTAGGAAACGCAATACTGGCGGTGAGCGAGCCCGATAGTTCGTACCTGCAGCTCCCAACCGCTCGAGGCGCTCGTTCCCGGTTTTCGTCGTTGAGTTCGTGTTATTTTCGTTCGCGGGCCGTTTAAACGCCGCCTTTTCAAGGACCTTCAGGTCTGTCCGTACTTCATGCTTGACTTGAAGCCGATGCGGTGATAAAGCCCCTTGCTTTGTCGTACTCTACCCGTAGTCCCAACGCCCCCTGAAAACCTCACACCACCCCGCCAACTCCCATCCCTTGTTGGGTATTGTATTTGGGGATTGGGTCAACCACAGCGCCAACTGATCCCCCCCCCTTCCCAAATGAAAACATACACCATTGTTTTCTCCCTCTAATATTCTATTTTTACAGCTTTCCGAAGAGTGTATTAAGTCCTCTTCATTCATAGCTGGGCGTCGTGCGACCCCCCTTGAAGGCATGAACCGATGGAGCCTTGTTACCAACCAACCAGCGATCGCGATGTGGCTGAACTGGGCAGCCAAGAACTCTCGGGAACTCCTCGTGTCGAGCCAAGCAGTTCGTACAATTACCTTTGCGGTTGCCTCGAGACACCGGCGTCACCTCGCTACACCTGCTGCTCATCCGCTACGACGGAGTGATGCAATCGCCGACGCTGCTCTCACCACGACCGTTGGTGTCCGGGTCTTGGTCCACGCTTGTGGCGGTCACCTGGTCGCCGTCGGGTGTACCGCTGCCACCGCCGCCGCCAAAGCAAGTGCCACCACTCGGGGTGAGACCATCGACCGCCGCACCCGCCGGCAAGCTTGGCGTAGCTAGTGATGCTGTCGACCGGCTTCTCAAGTCACAACCGCGGTCGATGCCGCCGCCGCCACCTCCCTTGCCGCTGTGAGGTGTAGCGGGGGCACTAGATACTTGGTCTTTGACGGGCAGGTGGCTCTGTTGCTGCTGCTGCCCGTCGATGAGGCTAGCACCGCTAGCACCGCTAGCATCACTCTGGAATACCACCGAATCGTCAGTCACTGCGTGCTGGCCGGGCGACGCTCGCTGATGCTGCTCCCCCGTGCCATGGTCCGCGCCACCACCGCCGCCGCCGTCCACTACGGTGCTTGCCGTGATGCTCGGAGGGATCGGACCGCGCACCCCTTGCCACGGGAACGGCGGTGGGACCGCGGGGGAGTACGAAAACGCGGTCCAGATCGCGGGCGAGGCTGCCGACAATGCCGTCATCGCTTCTCCCACGGGGGGCGATGAACGAGCGCCGGTGGCGGGAAAGGGCGTCGTGAACGGCACCGGCAACGGCGCCATCCCCTGCGGACGGTGGCCGTTGGCCGAATATCCGATGAAGGTTTCCAGGGGCGGTCATGTGGTGCACACAGGGAGAGAACGATCAGTGTTTGATTAGTGCACTGGAGGTGAGTCGGTGGAGAACGTCGGGTTAGGGAGGTGGAGCGGGGCAGTGGGCCAGAGCACAAAAGAAGCAGAATCGAGGAAGTGGTGGCCCTGCGGAAGTTGGTTCCAGTCATGAGAGCTGATGTCTTTGACAGACATTCTTTTTTCTCCACCACGAATGAAACCGTTGTTCTCTTGTGAGTGACTTGAAATCAGGAAGAACTGAACCCCGCTTGCGCGTAAAAGGAGGACACAAGAATATTCATGCAAAGGGCAATAAAACGTTTCCTTCGGGGACAGCAGCCTTCCTCGGTGATCCCTAGCAAAATGGTGTTCAAGGACAACGCGTGCGTTAGACGCCGGGCGACGACCCGAGGACCGGAAGGTAGAAACGTAATCGCAGGCAGGTTGAACTTCGCCCCATCATCGCCCTGGGGTAAAGATCGGACAGACGGAGAGAAAACGCAAATGAATATCAAGAACACGTACCGGTGTCGGATCCGTTTGTGCCTGGCGTCCTTCGTTGCTAGCCGGCCAGACCGTCGGCGGGGTACCTTCCTGGCCTTGGACCCGTTGGACGATTGGTACGGTGATGGGCGTCGTGCGGGCGGAAGCGACGGTAGAGGGCGAAGAAGGCAAGCTGATGACACCGCCGCTACCGCCGCCACCGGTCGCGCTGCTGGAGATGCCAGTGCTACTGCCACCGTCGCCGCTGCCGCTGCTCGCACGCTGATTGTTCGGCATCAATGCGGCGGGACGGATATCGCCATCGTTACCATTGTGCCAGGTATTGTCCGCGACGGCGGGGGGAACCCCTAAACCGCCGAACAGCCCGGAAGCGCCAACGCCGACGCCGAACATCATCATCATCATCATTGACGTGGCGGAGGAGCTACGCAAGTCGTTCCCCAAGCCCACCCTTCTACCCGACCCCAAAACCTCGGACGGCGCGAATGGGAGTTCGGGGGGATTGGTATCGTCTGGGAGGAAGGCTTCCAGGAAGGACTCTGCACGGTTGTGGCTGTTGCTGCTGCTGCTGCTGCTGCTGCTGTTGTTGTTGTCGGTGCTGTGCTTGTTGTTGTTGTCGGTCGCAAGTTCCGGTGTGCACAACGGCGGCGGCGAGCCGTTCGTGTTGACGCTGATACCTGTTTGTGTTTCTACGGTCTTGTTGCTAGGAACCACGTTGTTGGCCTTCTGACTCGAGCAATCGGAGGCGCCGCTGCGGCTGAGTTTGCTGGTGGAGCTTGTCCTGCTGCTGTTGCTGTTGCTGTTGCTTCCGCCTAGTACAGATGCCAACACCGGTGGTGATGATGGCGACGAATCGGAAGTGCCAGCGGCCCAAAAAATGGAGCTGTTGCTGATGCTGGTGCTGTCTTTGCTGTGCTTCTTTGTGGCGAGCTCGAAGTACGGGTGGAATTGCGGGATAGGGGTCCCGCAAGACAATGGCAGCGGTCGCTGAGACGTCAGAGTCCACTCCCCCCTCAAGTACCTTTGCGCCGCTTCAGTCTTGACGGCAGCAACAGCAGCAGCGGCGGCGGGCGGGGTCAAGTTTTCGGCCTCCCTCTCAACATTTGCTGTGATCTTGTTCGCAATCGCTTCCGCTGCAAAGGTTGTTTCCTCCGCGCTCCCGTATATCTGGTCGCTGAAGCCGTCGCTATCACGTACGCTGCCCCACTGAGGTATTCCGCCACTCCCCGAACGCCAGGTTACGCATGACCGGCGGTCGTGTTCTTCCGTCGCCGGCGAATCGCTTGGCGAGCTTGCGGCCGAGCTGCATCCCGCGAGCCCCGCGCTTTTACCATTGTTCCTTCCCGGCGCCGTGTTCTTGACCCCTCCTTCCTCCTCCAGACAGGACATCGCGCCGACCGTGGGGTGTTGCTCGTGCATGCCCGATATTCCCGCCGATCCTGCCGCCTCCAGTTCCCGCTTTCCGCAGCTGCCCATCATATTTTCGTGCTGGGACGAAGGGACGGCGAGAGCTGCCGGAACAACCCGCGGTCCGTGCGGTGCTGTCTTTTTCACTACGTGGCGAGACACCTTGCCGCCGCGGGAATTGCGGACCCTTGGGACCGCCGTCACCATGGAGCCGGCCCTTTCGCTGCGGCGCTTGTGGTTGCGCTTTGGCTGTTTCTGTACCTGCTGCTTCTTCTTCTCGCGTTGTTTGTCACCCGTCAAGATCGCCGCAAAAAGCTCGTCGCCGGTGGAAATCGTGCCGACGGCGGCGCCGGCGCTAGTCCTGGCCCCGCCGCCAAGGCCGGCGTAGCGCGTACCAGCAGCGGTAGAAGCAGCGGCAGCAGTGGTATCGTTGGTCGTGTACGGGAGGCCGGTGTGTGTTCCCGCCAGGGACGAAAAACCAAGGAAACCGGTGTTCTGCTGGTTGAGGAGGCCCGGCAGCTGAACCCTTTGCCTCTTTGCCGGCTTGCTACCTGGCGAGGAGGACGAGAGGAGTGCGGAAGGAGGAAGCTGCCCGTAAACCGGGTTAGGCTGTGCTGACTTGGCGTTCCGCTCCAGGATGCGCTGTAGAGACACGGAAGCAGCAGAAACGCGTGTGGGAGGTGAGGCAACGAATGAGAGAGGAATGAAAGAGGCGAGAGTGTGCCGGGTTTGGCACGGGCAAGAAGGTGGAGGGGTACTGTAGCTGCCGTGGTGGTGGGAAGGGAAACCCATCAACATGATATGGTGTTGCAGCTCGAACACGTTTTGTTGTGAGTCCACCACCATTATCCGCTCAACGACATCACCCAAAACCCACGGACAGCACGAAAAACTCGTTGAAACCTAGCCACCAATCACGGAGTCGAATTCACCTTGCTGCCGGAGCAAGAACCGTCGCCTCCGTTGCCGTCGTCACCTCCTCCGCCGTCATTTCCGAGCGTGTCCATGAGTCTGTCGAGGAAGGCCTTGGAAGCCGCCTTCTTGCTGGCCGGGCGGCCGTTTGCCTGGGGTTGGCTGCTGAACCACTTTTGCCTCGCGGAGGAGTTGTACCGGTTCTTGACGGCATTTTCCGTGCGACCGGGAAGGAACTTTGAGATCTCGCACCAGCGGGTGCCGAAAAACGCCTGTGGTAGCAGCGAGGAAGCAGCTCAGTGAACACCACCGTAAATAAAACATGACGAGGCGAGAGGCGCGTTTTTCTTTTGTTTTGGGGATGGCCCCGCATGACTGGAGGCGTTTTTCGTACCGCGGGCGAACTCCTCTGTGACGACCTACGACGTTGTTACCCATCGGGTCTGAAGAACGTCATTCGCTACGGCACTTTCAACAACAAATCGAACGATAGATGGAAGGCAGAGAGAGTGCGCTGGAATGGACCGTACTAGAGCCTTAAGGCGAAACGACGTTGTGTCGTACGCGGTCAAGTACGAATGCCCTTTTGTACGTAGTCGAGGGTTTGTGTTTTTGGTGATAAAATGGCAAGTGGAACGTAAGAAGTACCAATTAGCAAGTACTACTGTAATTTCCCGATCCATTCATCCTCAAGAATAAAACGAGTCCATACAACCCACGATGACCTCTTTCGGGGGACTGTCATTTTCCACCAGCCCACACCTGGCGAATAGACTGTTCGTTGGTCAACATAGTACCGCCGTCGGTACGAAATCTACAAACACAAAAAAAAAGCCGCGTTTGTTTTCCTCTAACAGTACCCTTGCCTTCGCCATGACCTCCCCTTACGCGGCCCCAGGTCATGGCCTTTGAAGCGTTTTCTGTTTTGACTGTACTCAGAACTAGGGTCAACGATACTGGGTTAATGTAAAAAACACACAGGCATACATGCATACCCGCTCGTCGTACCTGCGCATTGAACAGCACCTCGTCCTCATGAGGTGTCCACTCCGTCTTCTTCACCGTCGGGTCGAGGTGGTTGAACCAGCGCTCGCGGCACTGCTTACCGAGTCTTCCCGGAAGAAGCATAGCCACAAGGCTCCACTTCACCTTCTAGGAGGGATCAAGAAAAAAAATATGCAGGGACAGGAGTATGTCGTGGTCGCACGCACGGTCATAAATTCGAAAACTTCGTGACCCTTTGGGCGGCATGCTTCTCGCCCGACCGTGTTTGATCTCGTTGATAGCTCGAGGCTATTCAGGTTCCTAGAATATTTCTTGTCCGTGGTCGTCGTCTTTCGAAAGGAGGGTTCTGTGTATCCACCGGTAACAGTGCAGCGCGAGCCTTGAAAGAAAACAATTTTTAGTCCGGGAGGGGGGGGGGGGGTTAACGGGTTTTTGCAGGGGTTGCACAAGCGAAAAATTACAAAGTACAGCCTACGGCCCTCAAGAATCGAAAGAATCACATGTTGGAATACTCAATGTCAGTGATTAGAGTTCATTCTGCTGTAAACAGCAAAAAGTAGGTATTCACCTAAGGAGCATTACCGGAATAGATTTTGGTATGTTGATTCAGATATCGGATCATTGTACACACCTACGGGTTAAACATTCAACCATGGAAGTATGGTAAATCGGACCATTGTCCTATAGGATATTCTAGGAACGTTTACACAGGTCGGATTGACCGTCTATTTCCGTGATCGGTACGTTGTATTAGCCCGTGTGCGTTTCCATTCCGTGATGACAATGGATGGCTCGCCCCCGTGGTGCTCGCCACCACTCGCTCACTTCCTTCTTCTTCTTTTCCTTTCTCTTGTCTGACCTTTCGGCCAACTAAGCGCCAATAAAACCATATCATCTGGTCCACAACACAAGTGTACATTACAGTCACTCTGTGAGCCTCTGCACACTGCTACTACACACTGGCCACTGCCAGGGATACACCTATCACAAAGGTTACATCCCAACACAACACACTTTGACTGGTTAGACGCCGATCGCGAAGACCGTCCCCAGGGTACAGTATTGCGTTCGTCGTATGTTCATGCACGCAAGCAAGAGCACCCGCTCTTGGTTGTTGCTAGAAATTCCCGATCTTCTTGTTAGTCTCATGTGAACAGAACTCAGCCTGACCAACTAGGTCACCCTGCTGATTCAGTTGATACACTCATTTACCACACGAGAGTAACTCCATCGTCAACCATGGCAGCAATGGTGGCATCATTGTGAAGGAAGTAGCGCCTTGCTTTCGACAAGCAGGAGCAACAACGAAGTGCCAACAGCTCCTTTTTCTCACCGCCCCGATCGCCTGCGCGCTTAATACCGTCCCTCGAACTATTTCGTCCTCTTCAGGGGTCCAGTGTCGCTTGTTTAACCCCGGTTGCAAAACCTTCTTCCACCTGTAGGAGTTGTAGGGGTGTTGATGATGGCGGTGGGCAGGGGAGCTGGTGGAGGCGATGTTGTGTTAGCTTGGGATGGGAGAGTGGTACATCACCTTCTGTATGTTCCATTTAGAATATATATTGGGAAGAAATTCGGCAAAGGAAAGACAACTACACCACCAACATCAATGAATTGACAAGCCACATCTAGAGAGCGGGCACACACACAAAACAATGCCCATTCACCACATATTGTATTACCTGTGCAAGCATTGCGCGGCGGCCCTTCCGTACTGCTGCACGGCATGATCGCCCTCGGCGGCGGCGACTGCGGCCATGGCCTCGTAGTGGCTGGCCATTACGTAGTTAAGCTCCTCCGCCTTTTCCTTCCATTTCCCCTCTCCGTCGCGACTCACGATGTTGCGTAAAGTGTTGTCCTCTTCAGCTGCGTCGTTTCATAGCAGTGATATGTGGCCCGGGGTCAGGTTGGCTGGGTTTCAGGTTTGGATTGAGGTAGGCCTCTATGTTGGTTTCGGAGAAGGGATGTGTGAACTGTGGTACGATGATGCGGTCGTGAGAATGAAAGTCGCCAGGCTGCAGACCCACGAGATGCCGCGCAAGGGTCTCACACGCTCAAGTCAGGCTTGTTGGGGCTGCATTATTGAGGTGGGCAACTCTAAAGAAGAAACTAGAGCAGTACGACTGCCAAACTCAAGACAATAGTTCAATCCGAAAGGCGGGAGGGTGTTACAATTGCTTCACACCAACATCACAACATGATAAGATGCAGATACGTTTGTTGGATCACGGTTGTTGAGACGAAACCCCACGTTGCCTAGAGAGTAGTGCATTCAAAAGTGTCGGCACAACTTAGCGGCACTTTCAGTCTTGGACGATGCGGAGGGGGGGGGCGTTCTCACCCGTCCAGCGGCCTCCTTTTGCCTGCCGACCCCCACCATTGTTCGGATTACGGGATTTGATCTCGTCCACTACTCCCTGGATGTCTGCCTCGGTCCTCAATGATGCCTTGGCGGTGGCGACATCACACGGCTTCGTGGCGGTGGAAGTGGTGCGAGGTCTTGGCTTGAGCTTAGCGGTGCCAGACATTCCTCCAAGTCTGTCGCGGCCACGGCCTCTGCTAGCCGGCCTCTTCTTGCTTCGCACGTCTCCTCCACCGCCTGCCGCACCGCCGGCAGCAACCCCGGCGCCTCCACCGCTACCTAGGGCAAAGACGGGACCCGTGCCTCCACGCACTCCGGTGCTGCTATAGGCGTGAGTCCCGCTCTCACTCCTGTCATCGGCCGCCTCGATACCATCGCCGCTGCAAACGCCGCCGCCGGTGTTTGCACCGAGGATGTTCACTGCATCGAAGGGAAACAAGGGTTGTTGTTCGCGGAACATGAAGTCATTGGCTCCAGGTCTGCAACCAGGAGGGAGACTTGCAACCGTAGGCTCCGGCTGTAAACCTTGAAGGGCACCACGGTGGCCGCACTCTCCCTCTTGGATAGCCGTGGTAGTACCGGTGTTGGTAGAGACTGTCAGGGTGAGTCCTCTCAATTCATTGTCAATGGCAGCGGCTGGAATGAGGCCGATTGTCAGAAGGGCGGCGGGGTGAATGTCACTCAAGGCGTCGACACATTAATGTGCCGCAGAATGATGAAGCATGACATAAAAATGTGTTATATATCTGTTTTCCTACGGCAGAGTTGGTTACACGCATGAGTTGTGGAGGGGTTGGTGCATGAAGGCCAGCCGCCTGAGTTCGGACGCCACTCCGTTCGATTTGTGAATCGTTGGTTCTTGTCTACTTGAAATGGTCAAGAACGAATAAACCGAGTGGTTGCGATTCACACCATCGGTCATGCGATTCGTGTACGTTCAGTACCTTGTCCACCCGCTGATGACAGCAGGAATGAATCCATGCTACAGTCGCCTCTTCTCTCGGACAGAGCAGCGGTGATTTGCACCGACCAGTATCGCCTTTCTCTCTTCTTGCGGGAAGCGATGCTTTGACGCCGACACCGAATAGCTGTTTCTCGCCCTTCTTGATGCCTGGCAGCAGTTTCGCAGAGTGAAGTGTAAAACACGGTATCGAAAACCGAAATTGAGTGCACCGCACGTATGTTGAAGCTCTTGGCTCGTATGTTCAGACGTGGTGATGGCTAGAGTGCGAACGAGAGGAGTGAGTGTCATGTGCGGGGCCCGGTCATGATACTTGTCTTGTCGGGCAGCTGTCGCTGCCTGAAAGGAAGCCATCTCGCAATGCTATGAGGTCCAAAACCACACCGCCAGCACACAGTTCTGCGTACAACACAGAGCTGCCAAGAAACGTATCCCAATAGAATCCATGAAACGTATTCCCATTGGTCCTGCATGCCGCAAGACGAACCGTATCAAGCAATCGGGTTCGATTTTTCTAGCAAATGGTTTCAAGGGTTTCGTGTTTCGTGTATTGCCGGCGCTATACCAAACGTGAAGCCCGGTGTGAGCGTTTGAGGTGAGACTGGTGGCCCCGTGCGCTCGCCCGTGCGTCTGGTTCGAGCTACATAGATCACGGACGAGCTACAATGGCAACCCGAAGATGACTGCATCGATCGATGTGAGCATTCGAAGGAGCTACGAAAAACAAGACGACTTTGGTCTGCCCCGTACTGCCCCGTACTGCCCCGTACTGTAGTGGGCCGCTCTGTGGTGGGTGCTTGTTTCGGTCATCAACTCGCAAAGAACATCCAACCTCGACGCTCGCTACCAAACTTTCAATGGGAGCGATATCAACTCCACCCCCTCGGCGCAGGACGCCATAGTCTGGAAGCACACAGCAGTCCTTACTCGACCTCGGAAATTTCTCCCGGCCCGACGCTAGAGCAACGGCGCGTCCCATCGGTTTCGTGTCACCCCCTGTGGCCTCTAGTGCAACGCCTTGGTATCCCATAGATGTAAATTTTGAATGCTCCAGAAACTGCAGTCGGCAAAGCACACGTACACCACACCTGCTTCGTCCCTTCGAGAGAGTGAGTCGTAGTTTCAGAATCGGACGATGTTCCTGCTCCCTCTCGCACGATAGGCACGTACAAGTTAGATGCTTGAACGAACGGGCCGTTTGGAGAGATGAAGAGTCTGCCAGCCGGTGAGGCGCACTTTCTTATCGGAGGGGGAGTGATTCGGGTCGAACGGGAACAATTTGTGTCCGTTTCTGTCCAGCACAATCTAACCGCACTTCCGATACGGCACAAGAACCAACCTCTCCGTCACGGCAGCGCGGGGCGAAACACATGGTTCCTCTTCAGTGGGATCCCACCAACGGATGGAGACCAACAAAACAATGCCTGTCCCGAATATATCCTAAACATTGAAGCCAGCATGTGGAAGAGATTTACGACGTGTCATGATTGCATATCACTCCACCACCTGCGACCTGAAGTAAGGGTCGTTCCACCAGATGCATATATTTCCATAAGGGCCTACAATACACGACTAGAGAAAAAAATGTAGAAGACACGTGTAGCAGGCGGCACTTTGCTCGTATGGGTGCTGCAGCCCCTGCTGTAGCCTTGGTCGATTCACTCCTGTTCATAACTTGGTCGTTCACGGCGGTATATGTGCGCGATCGACCCCCGTTTCACACTGACACATGTGTCCGGTACGCTAACGCAGGATTTCACTGTGGATTTTTCTCACGTGTTCCGTCTTCCCTCCTGTGGTCGGCCACATGGCACACAGCATGCCATCGCTGTGTAATGTGATTGGATGCCTTTCTCCATCGAATGCCCGTTTGTGTGAAACGCAGCCGTGTTGGAGAAGTAAAAGAAACAAAAGTACGATATTCGTCGGCTGGACTAGCCCAACCTTCCGGTGATACAAATACACCAGCTCCGGCGGCCAGATCTGGCCATCTCGTGGACGCGTGCAATGAATCTCTGGTTCTGTCTCAGTCGCCGCTTCTTCTCACTGCTTGCTTTCCATTGTGTATTACTCTTTCCTCCTTTCGTTATAACCCCTCGGTTCGCAATTAGCGGTCGAACATCCTTACAGTAAATAGCGACTTCCACGATACAGAAACGGATGGTACGCGTGCTCTTGCGTCGACAAGACACCCACCGACGTCAGCAAATCACGAAACAAGCGCTTCTCTGTTCGTCAGTCCCTGCCGGAACCCTCCCTTACGAGCGCCGCTGTGATAATGAACCATCACACACAAACATGAAAAAGACCTCCCACATGCACACGTGCTAGAAACACTTCCAAACAGTGCGCATCATTCTTATTACGACAAAAATACAGGTCGGCGTTGTGCCATTTTCCGACTCCCGTACGCCTTACCGCCCCGAAAATGTTGGCTCTACCAGCCAGCAGCGGCGGTGCGGGTGTCACATTAATAAAAACACTAGAACTCTAATTGCCTGAAAGCTGGCCAGAGTACGATGCGTTACGCTTTTCACCGCTGCCATTCTCCTCTGCAACAAGCTGCACACACGTAAAAACCACGAATGAAAAAAAATCGTGGCAATGACAGTAGGCACCGCCACAGGAACAGCTGTACTCGTCGTAAGTAAACAGCGCGAAATACGTGGTGGAGAAAAAGATGCGCCTTCTCGACCGGTGGCGGCCGTAACTTCTCAGAACTTTCCCCTAGAACGTTGTTCTCCTGCTTCTGTGCTTGGTTGATGCCATGCCAAGATCATTCTCCTGTTGGGGCTCAGGTCCCTGTGCCACTGCCGCCGCCGCTCGCCAGTCGAGGCATTACCAACCCTGCCAGGGTGTCTCTGAATGGCCCGAAGCCAGGGTTTCCCTCGAAGATGAAGGGGTAGAGCGTCTGGGCATTCGGTAGTTGACGCATCGCGCCCAGCTGCAAATCGAGTGGGGGGCGGGGGGGTCGTTCATGGTGTGGGGGTGAGTGTACGGCGAAACTGGCCGAAGAACAGATTCTGCGGGGGTCGGAACATACTGTGGTGCTCAAAACGTTAACAACGACGGAAGGTATCGCAAAAAGGCTACGAGAGCCCTCAAAGGAAACAACACCAAGAGGACTCCGGTTTGGAATCGCAGAACAAGAAGCATCATCGCCGTGGGATCAACCGCCAGCTCGCACGCATGATAGGGAGTGACGCAACTCTGTCAACCCCTTTTCCCATCGGTCTCTCCCAAGCATGCATTGCAAACTACCTCCAAACCACACAAACATAAGCAACCAACCACAAATCCCTCACCCGCGATCAGCACCATCGAAACAACAAGACACGCAAAAAGACAAAGGTGGAAAGCTGTAATTGTTAGTACTTTCCCTCACCTCTTGGGGGCCCATGGATGCGATGCGTTCGGCAATGGGCATCGCGAGCGGGTGCTGCTGCGGCTGCGTAGCCGCCGCTGCTGCTGACGAGTACACCGGTGCAGCCGGAGCTGGGGCCGCGGGCGCCGCCGCCGGTGGTGGGGGCGGTGGTGGCGGCGGCGGCCCAACCAGCATCGACGGTGGGGGCGGAGGGCCGCCAGCGGCGGGGGCGGCAACAGTCGCCGCCATTGGCGGCGGAGGCGGTGGCTGCTGCTGCGCGCTCCAAGTCGGAAGTGCCGCCGCAGGCGCCCCGGAATGCGGTGGGGGCGGCGGCGGCGGCGGCGGTACCAAACCGCCGCCACCGAGCGGAGCCGCGGCGGCGGTGGGGGGCGCGGCGGCCGGTGCCCGCGGCGGTGGACCCGGCGGTGTCTCCAGCTGGGCCGCGGCCGGCGGCGGTGCGGCCTGCTGCTGAACCTGTTGGGGAGGTGGCGGCGGCGGAGGCGTCGGTTGCTGCTGGGTGGGCGTTGTCTGCTGCTGAGCCGGGGCGGACGGCGTGAAGGTCGGCGGCGGGGGGCGGTACAGGTACTGCGTCTGCGGCGGCTGCTGCTGTGGGGGTGGCTGTGGCGCCAACATAACCGGTGCCGGCGGAGGCACCACGGCGGAGGCGACTGTGATGACAAGGCAGACGAGGTGGCCCTGAGCGGCGGGGTTCTGCGCGAGCAACGGCACCTGCGACGAGGCACAGGGGGACAAATGGAAGCAAAGGTGGATAGGTTAGGTACACAGTAAGGGGCAGAGGCGGTAGAGTACCGTTGGCAATGGTGGCGATGTTCACGAGGTGAGAGGAATTAAAACACACAAGCGCGCCTAAACGAGACTTACTCTAGAGTAGTTCTTCCGGAAAATATGGAACAAACATAACGCAGGGAAACGACCTACTCTGCATTTTCAGAGCCCCTCTCCGGAACTCCGGAAGGCTCTGCGATGAGAAGCACAGGCAAAGTGTTCACCAACCGAATCTGTTCCTTTTCCAGCCTCTTACCAAGCTACTGTACTGGAAGTTGGTGGTAAGGCGGGTGCCGGGGGCTTGATGAAAGGAACGAAAATGAGGCCCAAGCACACGGATACGGCACCTTAACCAAGCCACGAAAAGGCGCCGAGTAGGCAGCCAATCGAACATGGCCCGTATGCAAGACGGAACACTCTGGCCACAGTATGTTCGAAAAAAAAGGCCAAAATTCTTGGTATGGGGTGGATATATCTATTTGAAAACCGCCATGCCCGAAACAAATGAACGCACAAGTCCTTGACGTCTCCGACCTCCCCCTTTCCAGGGCCGCGCCCTGCCGGCGCTAGCTTGACAAAAAAGGGGCTTCAACAGAAAAGACTTTCAGATGCAGGCCAAGAGCCCGGGGCTCACAGCGACCCAGGAACGCAAAGCAAGAAAGTAGTGACAAGGGCGGAAGCACGGCACTGAGATTCACTACTTTCGTCGAAGAGCCTGGCCAGCCAGAAGAGGAAGAAAGTAATGAAATGGTGGCAGCACGGTGCCGAATTACTTCACCACTACCGACGGACCTGTGGCGCCAGTGCTGGAGGCACGAGGTAGAGGAACTCGACGTGCTTCTTGTCGAACTGCTTGAAGCAGTACCCGGCTCGACCCTGATTCTTGTACGCGGCGAACTCTTGGCAGAAGCGGCTGCGCGCGCGATCAGGGTAGGGGATAGGGGACACAACGGCACGCCGTGCACACAGAAACGCACCGTGTGATGTACGGAACGGAGCGGGTTACGAGAACCATACAAACCACAAGCACGAAAAAAAAAACTGCTTTCACGACGTTTTTTGAGAGGACGTCCATCGCGAGATTGGAAATAATTTGCGTACCACTTACCTCCAGGTCGAGTACGAGAATCACCAACCACACCAAGCCAAGAGCGCCGGCAAGAGAGTGAATGGTGAAGCAAACAGGATGGGGAGTAGGTAACGCTGGCAAACAGGATGCGGGAATACACCCTTCCATGATTAATTTCCGTTAGAAACACACACTATTACATGAAACAAGCGGTCTCCCAGCGATCGTATGCAAACGCACGCCAGCACCCAAAAAAACTCACTTCAAGACGTTGGGGTTGTTAGGACCACCGCCCCCTGGCCGAAGGACAAGGACCCTGATGCTGCCCGCCGCCCTCGACTTCATGGTCCCGTTGAGGTTGGTAATCGATACGCGGCCATCAACGTCCAGATTCCGGGGCAGCCGCGCCTGTGCGTGTGCGAAATGCGAGCAGCGAAGAAGGTTCGAATACCACAAAAGAAGCAGAAGAAGACACGCCTCCGAGGGGCGGATCCCTGGTCATGTGCATGCCCGCCTCTACCCCCATACGCCCTGCTCTGGTCCACAACCACGCCGGTACTTGCCTTGTCGTACGAAGAGCAACAACAACAACAACAACAACACAAACATGGAAACAACGACCGCGGAAAAACAGCAGACGACAAGGACAAATACAACAAAAACAACAAAAACAGCAGACGGCAAGAGCACGAAACACATCACGACGACAACGTCCAACAAAACCAACGCCACCAAAACAAAGCCCAACTTTCCTCGCAAACAACAGCACCCAACCAATCAAAAAGACGCCCTCGTTTGCCTGTAAGTCGACGCAGTGCTCAGGCCCGCCCCCATGGAAGGCGTGGACGTAGAAGGGCTCTCGTCCTGGCTCGTTGATCACGAAGTTCTCGCTCTTTGCCGCTCGCCCCGCTTTACCCGGCTTAGGCGCCACGCGCGTCATACCTTCCACCTGCGACGCGGACAGCGGGCCGTATGCGTGCGTGTGCTCATGTAACGCATGCCGTGGTTGTTAGACCATAGGCCTCGAATCCCTACAATGCCGGGTGTTCGTCGGCCCAGGTACGCTTCACATGGATAAACCAGTAGCTGGCCATCATCCTCGTGTATGCTGTGCCCCACCAGACGTGCCATAGGTTGTTTGGGGATTCCGGCAACCCGACGGGGGGGGGAGCCACGCACAATCACTACTTTTCGGGCCGCGGACGGAGAGGCTTGGAGCGGCCAGAAACCAACCGCGGCAAGAAAAGCATCGGGCTCTACAGATTCTTCGCAGGTTCCGGTCGCAAAACGCGAAGCCACTGCCCTGAAAACATACCATATCCAACCAATACACACGCGACACATCAACACCAGAAAAACGCCATCAATGCGCCCCCGCCCCCGCTCGCACAATCCCCCCCCCCCCGCCCCCGCCCTCCCTCTCTCCAAATGTCAACCCCGATATATCTTTGGAAAAGACTACTCCTAACCTCTGGGGGAGGAGTCACCGGCCGGCCAACCCCGCCGCCGCCGCCGGGGGGGGGCGCAGAGTGCCGAGACGGTTTCACTTCCTTGGCCTCCTCTCCTTCCTCATCTTCCTCAATCTCCATATCGTCGTCGTCGTCGTCATTGTCGTCGTCGTCGTCGTCTTCGTTAGTGGCAGAAAATCGGGGCTCGCTAAGGCCGTTGTCGATGTCGGCGTTCGGGGAAGCCGGGGGCGAGGAGAGGCGCGGCAGCCCGCCGCCGCCGCTGCCGCCGCCGCCGCCGCCGTCACCGCTGCTGTCGCGCCTGTGCTTGCCGCGCTTCCTCTTGGTGTTGCCGCTGCCTTCGTCGCCGTCCGACTCTACGCCGTCCCCGCCCCCGATTCCTCTACCCACGTCCATCCTGCACGACACGGAACAAAACGGGGTGGGGGGGGGGATGGGATTCGTACAAGCCGGCCGCGACAGGGCGTGCAATTGAATTGACATGTTTTCGGTGGGAACTTGAACCATAACAAACGATACACTGGTCGCAGCGCGCGCACACACACCCCTCCGAGTCGGTTAAGCCTCGCAACGGGCATGCATGGACGAGCAGCACGCCGAGAGTGCCATCGATCGTTCGAGACTCTGCCCTTTCCTCTTCGTTGGCATGGACCAGAGACGAGGGACGAAAGAGGCAACCGGCCCGTACAAACCACGGGGACCCCGAAGCCAACTAACCCTCTCTACATCTACTTGCCCCCTGCACCAAACCGCCCTATAGCAATCAAAGACCACACCACGTTCGAACATCAAAATCTCCGTATTCTACGTCCCTATACGACCCCGCTGGTGCCACGTGAAATCGCAAAGTTCGTCCTCAAACGTCGGAAAAATCAATTACCCCTCCGAAAAGACGTATGGAAACAAACGTGCTCCATCTTTCCAACAACACAAAAAATCGTCAGAGGCCAGTTATGTATAACAACAAAATAGATTTAAGTACCCTCCCTCCCCCACCCAAGTGATGATGGATAGTGCCGGACACATAGACGCTTTGAGTGAGGATAGCTGCGTATTGAAACCTCACAGGTGATTTGTATTGGAGATTGCCGGACACAGACGTGTTGAGTGAGGATAGCTGCATACTGAAACCTCACAGATGGATTGGGTATTGAGTTTGCCAGACACATAGATGCGTTGAGCGGGGATAGCTGCATACTGAAACCTCACGAGTTGAGTGATGTTGGATAGTGTCAGACACATAGACGCTTCGAGTAAGGATAGCTGCATATTGAGACCCAACAGGTTGAGTGACGTTTGCGACTGCCGGACACACAGACGCATTTGGGTGAAGAAAGCTGCATACTGAAACCTCACAGGCTGATTTGTATTGGAGATTGCCGGACACATAGACGCGTTGAGTAAGGATAGCTGTATACTGAAAATCCTCAGTAGCTATCGTGAGGGGACAATTCGAGGATGCAGTACACATAGACCCGACCCCGACCCCGAACCCGAACCCCCCCTGAAAAATAGAGGCCATGCGCCCCTCCCTCCCCTCTACTTCCCCCAGAGGATGAAGAGGGTACAGTCCAAATTAAGCACAAGCTTACCTAAGATTAATGCCTATTGGTACGGCATTCAAAAAGCACGTAAGTCCCCCAAGTCCCCCATTGGGAGGTGGAGGACTTCAAGCTAAGACACCCCAAAACTCTCCGGCGTGAGATCCAAAATGGATCGGACGATGGAGGGGGGGGGGGGG